ACACTTTTGAAGCTCCTCAGCGTGTCCAAGTCAGCAAGTTTGAGTGCCCCGTGCGTGTTATTAGGGAAAACAAAAACGTATAAGATTTTGTATGATTGAATATTATCGATGAGTGATGAAATGGCCCAGAGGTTTAAGTTGGTGACGAGAAGTTGGTACCACGAGTGCGCGTGTTCGAAGCGCAGTACTTGCATGTAATTTTTTTTTTAGTTTGGGCTTTTCAGGATACCTAAAAGCTTAGGAGATTCAGAATGATTTTTTATGCTGGTTGTTGGGATACAAAATGTCTTAAGGATTTGAAACTTTATGAGACCATCTTAGATACTTTATAGGAAAGGTTATCATGTTCTAACCTCCAATATCATTTCAGTTAAGTTATAGTCATCAAATAAAATAAAATAAAAATTTCAACAATAAATATTTACCCCGAACCATTCAGATCGACCATAAATCTCATGTACATCACAATTAAATATATATATATATATATATATATATATATATATATATACAACATAATTTCAGAAAGAAAATTACACTAATAAACACATGTCCTTTTTTGTCTTGTCTCCATTAAATTATTATTTTGACATGAAAACACTAATAACAGTAATGCTCGATAAAATCACTAATAAAGGGAATGCTCGATAAAATCATTACGAAGATAAAATATGAAAATATCAACCCATATGAATTCGATGTTTATTCATTTATCAGACTAATCAAGTTGTGTGACTTCTAATGTTTCATTAATTTCTTTTTTTAATTTGAGCTTTTCAGGATCCCTAAAAGCTTAGGGAGATCCAGAATGATTTTTTATGCTGGTTGTTGGGATACAAAATGGCTTAAGGATTTGAAACTTTATAAGACCATCTTAGATACTTTTATAAGAAAGGTTATCATGTTCTAACCTCCTATATCATTTCAATTCAGTTATGATCATCAAAAAAAATAAAAACATATTTTTCAATAATAAATATTTACCCCGAACCATTCAGATCGGCCATAAATCTGATATACATCACAACTAATATATATATATATATATACAACATAATTTCAGAAAGAAAATTACACTAATAAATACATGTCATTTTTTGTCTTGTCTCCATTAAATTATTTTTTTACATGAAAGCACTAATAACAGTAATGCTCGATAAAATCACTAATAAAGGGATTGCTCGATAAAAACACTACGAAGATAAAATTGAAAATATCAACCCATATGAATTCGATGTTTATTCTTTTATCAGACTAATCAAGTTGCGTGACTTCTAATGTTTCATTTAACACTATTATAGATAAGCCAGATAAACAAATGTTAAAAAAAAAACAGCAAAGTCTCATACATAAAACTACACAAAACATCAACAACGTATCCAGTCCCCGCGCAAGCGCGGGGACTATGCATCTAGTTATCTTTAAAATTTACCTTCACATAACTTTTCATCTTTTAACTATGCATCTGCAAATAATAATGATAGGATTAGTGAAGTAAATAAGCTATGTAATAATATATACATGAATATTATACCGTAGATTCATATATAGTACCATCATAATTATCTGATTTTCTGGAATATTCTTTGAAACAACATTAGTTGTTTTGGTATCCCTTTTCCCCTCTCCACTAACATTAAGATCTTTAGACCTTTTCTACTTTGAACTCTTGATACATCAACTTTAAATTGACAATGCGATAATGTTTTTGCTTACAAAATAAATCAGTTTCGGTTATCTATAACTAAAACTGACATGTATATATATATTTAGAGAATAAATATTTCAATAAAATCATTGACGATCAAATTTGTCTCACTGATGCAATAGAGTTATATAAATAATTCCTTTACCACTGCATGTGTATTGATATATCAAACATCTAAAAACAAATTGTGTATAACAAAGACTGCAACAATGCAAAAATGTATAAAAAAACTAATTCCTTTATCATTGCATGTGCATAGATATATCCAACATCTAAAAACAAATAGTGTATGGCAAAGACTGCGACAATACAAAATGAAGTTGCTAATATATACCTTTGTTAATTAGAATTTAATTAACATTACTATTTTGCCATCTCCAAGACTTCACTCTCCTCTGGCCTCTAATATCATACTTAATCCAATTTATTGAATATCTGAAACATTNTGCATGTGCATAGATATATCCAACATCTAAAAACAAATAGTGTATGGCAAAGACTGCGACAATACAAAATGAAGTTGCTAATATATACCTTTGTTAATTAGAATTTAATTAACATTACTATTTTGCCATCTCCAAGACTTCACTCTCCTCTGGCCTCTAATATCATACTTAATCCAATTTATTGAATATCTGAAACATTAAAATTATATAACTATATTGAAAAAATATTAATCAAAGTACTCACCACAATATGTGAACGTGTTTTCTATGGACATTTTGGTGTCAAACCCATCATACAGAAGAAAAAAAAATTATCAAACTAATATTTTTTATAATTTATTGGAAGTGTATTTACCATTTTGCGAAATCCCTTTTTCCGCCTGCCATGTTTGCATCTGCGTTTAGTCTGCTTTCCATCCTCTTCAACTTTCTTGCTTTTTTCGTCCTATTGTTGCTTTGCTCCGGTTACATTTCGAGAAATTTAGGTCACTCTATTATAAACTGGTTCTGATGAGGCAATGTAGTTCTCTGTCGAAGCCAACAAACTTGTTAAAAAGAGGAGATAATGTCACTGGAAAAATATTGGTTGTTGAGATCCAGTTACATTGAAATCGAACTATGCACTGGGTCGGGACAATCCATACGGTCCAGATAATGAATTAGAGTTTTGAAATAAAAGAAGGATTATAGGCATTTTGTATTATCTGTTTTGAGCAATTGAAGATTTCACTGCTATTTGTTTATTGAATGAAGGTTTAGAATATGGAAAAGAAAAAGATCGACAAATAGGATCATGGGTCGTGTGGAAAACTGTCTAATTACGATTCTTGATTTTTTTTTTCTTTTCTTTTAAGCATTATATTGTTTAATTGATTTTTCTTAAATTTTTTTAAACATTTCTTATGTGTTAAAATGTAATTGGTTAGCTGACTTGTGTTTTAGTATATAAGGGATTTGTCCGAATCTATACAATTATATAAGAAGTATATTTGCTTAGTTGTCAACTTCTCCATGATTTTAGGTTATTTTGCTTATTTACTTTTTAAATAATTTAATATACAATTTATTATCTAATAAAAATGAATTTATATTAATAATATTATATTTTAGAAAATATGTCAATAATTTTTTATTAAATTGTTATCTTACAATATATTTTTTCTATTATAAAATTCAAGTTAATTTACTGATTGATTTGTAACTTCTCCATAAGGTTTGTAATTTTGCTTATTTGTTATATATTTAATAATTTTATGAATAATTTATCATATAATAAAACGAGTTTCTATTAATAAAATTAGACTTTTAGAAAATAAGATAATTCTTATATATTATATTGTTATCTTTAAAATATATTTAAAAAATCATAGAAATGAAAAATTAAGTTAAAATATTAATAGTTAAATATAAAGAAAGCAATGCTGATTTATCAACTTCTCCATGGTTTTATTTATTTTTATTTATCATATTTTAATAATTTCATATATAATTTATTAAATAATAAAACGAATGTATACTAATAATACAAGATTAAAAAATAAGATAATTCTTATGTATTAGATTTTTATTTTGAACATATATTTTCTATTAGAAAATTTAAGTGAAATATCTGATTTGTAATTTCTCCATAATTTCAATAATTTTGATTATTTGTCATATTTTTAATAATTTCTTATAAAATAAAAACTAATTTCTATTAAAAATTATATTTTAAGAAAATAAGATACTTCTTATGTATTATATTTTTATCTTGAAAATATATTTTTTATTATAGAAATAAAAAATTAAGATAGAAAAAATTATAATTAAAATAAATTAAAGCAACACATTTGTAAAATTATATTTTAAAAATATTTTGTTATGTGAGTGTAGTCATTTATAATTAATTTTAAAACATAAATCATAACTTATTATATTGGTTTGAATTAATAAAATATAGTCTAATAATAAATTGTACGAAAATTATGCCCGCATGTGCGGGCAAAAGATATACTGAGAAAAAAAAAGAAGAAGGAAACTTGTGACGTGGCGGTCTAAACCACTGTATCATTGCTTCCATCGGGTGGTCGGTCGCGAAAAGTAAAATGATTTCCCCCAAATTAATTGCCGAAACCGAATCCTCAACTAAAGATTCTATTTTTTGTATACGAGATTGAACCCGACCCGGATCCGAACTCAGTAATTGACCCAACTTCGGTGCATCTATACACAACTCCGTCAACAATTCAACCGGAACATCTAAAGCGTTGGTTGAAATTCGAATTCGAATACGTTCGATCGGTTGTTGCCTATTTTGTATGAGTTGGCTGTCGGCGAAACGATCCGACCCTGGAGTGGAACCGGATTTCATTCATCAGGACTTGTGCAATAGTTCCCTCTAATCGACAAGCAATTTAGGGAATTGGGGTTTTCTCGGGAGTGAAGGATTGATCCATAGAAGAAGAAGAGTGGATTGATCCATAGAAGAATCATGTGGTTCTCCTTCTTACGACCCAGAGATCGATTCTCCTTGCTCGAACTCAGGTTTTATTTCTCATCGATTCGACCCTAATGCATTTTTATTTCCAATTGTGTCTAATATCCTCAATGTTGTCCAAATCTTATGTGTAAAAAATTGCTTCTTTTAAACTCTTTGGGAGTGTTTGACAAAAAAAAAAAAAAAAAACTCTTTGGGAGTAGAATTGGCAGTTTACATCTCTATTTGTTAGGGCATGAATTAATCTTCCCCGGTTTTGCTCAGGGGTCAAAGGGCCTATCTTGATCTTAGTGTACACAAAATTATATGCTCGTTAATTCCACCAGATGATAGAAGCATAAGTGTTGAAACTTTGTTTCGTTTTGTGTAGGCATCTGACTGACCAGTTGACAAAAATTCAGATAGTGAACGAGACCAATAAGGTCAGTGGCGTTAAGCTCTTTTATTTTAGCAGCCTTGAAGGCTTATTGTTTCGTTTTCTCTTAGGGTTTGATTTTTGTTTATCATTTTTTGAAGGACTTGGTTGTCGAGGCACTGAGATCAATCGCGGAGATATTAACTTATGGCGATCAGCATGACCCCTCATTCTTTGAGTCAGTCGTTTCTTCGAATAATCTGTCAACGCTCTTATTTTCCTATTGGCATATGCTAATTTTTTGCCATTTGTTGCAGGTTTTTTATGGAGAAGCAAGTCATGGGAGAGTTTGTACGTATTTTGAGGGTTAGCAAAACAGTAACAGTTTCTGTCCAGTTGTTGCAAACCATGAGTATTATGATCCAAAATCTCAGAAGTGATCAAGCCATCTGTGAGTTTATCAGGCGCTATGTATTTTTCTTTGATAATTCCTCATGACTATAGTCTATTTATGATCTTCTTTTTTTCAAATTCCGTGCAGACTACTTGTTCAGTAACGAATATGTAAACTATTTGATAACATATACATTTGATTTCCAACATGAAGAACTTCTATCTTACTACATATCCTTCCTAAGGTACCTTTTTCTGTATTATCTCGGCTTTAGGAAGTACTTAGAGACTGTATCTGATAACGCTTTCGTTTTCTTTATGTAGAGCTGTTAGTGGGAAGCTAAACAAACATACAATATTGTTGCTTCTGAAGACTGAGAACGTGAGTATTCTTTAAGTTGCATGTTCTTTTTACTGTTTTAAGTCCTTTTGGATCTTTTTCTACCATATTTTAATTCTGCGTTTCTGCGTCTAGGATGTAGTAGTTTCTTTTCCCCTTTATGTCGAAGGAATACAATTTGCATTTCATGAAGAGAACATGATACGCACTGCAGTTCGTGCCTTGACTCTTAATGTATACCACGGTAAGTCATTCATAGTTCTTTCCACTTGTCACTTTAATGATAAAATACCCAGAACTTTTAGCATCGTTTCTGATGCCTTTCGTTTGTTTTTGCAGTTGGCGATGAATCTGTGAATGATTACGTAGTTAGTCAACCACACACCGAGTACTTTTCCAAATTAGTTTCATTTTTTCAAAAGCAGTGCATGGATCTAAGCGCAATGGTGCTGAACACGCTAAAGTAAGGTTCAGTGCATTTTCATTTCCAAGGGAAATAGCTTGTAGAATTTATCATTTCTTGTCATAAATCCCGTATCTATATTTTTAGTTTGTGTTTGATCTTTGATAAATGTTATTATTTATATAAAGACTTAATTTTATCTTTGCTGAAGGAGCCCATCCCCAGAATCGGGTGGAAAGTTGTTCTCTGCCGTTGATGGAATTGAGGACACCTTGTACTACTTTAGTGATGTTATCTCTGCTGGCATACCTGATATCGAGAGGCTGGTAACAGATCGCATTCTGCAGCATCTCACTCTCCCACTTCTTCTCCCGTCTCTATGCTCTGAGGCTGTAAATGTACAAACTATCACCTTTTCATCTTGGTTTTGAGTAACTGAGAAAGTGCCATTTCTTATTTCAGTTAAATATTGGTTTTTGTTGTTATGTCAGGATATATCAATCGATCCTGTCACTTCTCTCTATCTGCTTTGCTGCATCCTTCGGATAGTTAAAATAAAAGATTTGGCAAATATCACCGCTGCTTCTCTTTTCTGCCCTGTAAAGGCTTTCATTTCAAGTTCCCTAGTAAAACCTAATAGTAGCTTGGCTCCTGAACGCCCTAGATTTGTGAATGGGCATCCAGACAATTGTGTTGCTGAGGAAGCGGATCAACAGTGTTCAAGCACTGAAGTCTTGAATGAGGATGGAGATCCCCACGTTTGCAGTGAAAATACGACGAAAAGTACCTTCAAAAATTCACATATGACATTTAGGTAACATGTTAGCTAGTAAAACGTGCATGAAGTTGAGATAGTTGCTTTTTTTTTTACGTATATCTATTAAGCAGATATTCTTTTTGTTACAAGGGAGACTTTACTTCAATATATTTCTGAGGGGGATGATGTGCAAGCTCAGGGTTCGTTGTTTGTGCTAGCCACTTTGTTGCAGACAAAAGGTATTAGCTTAGCAGTGGTGTTGTGCAGATGCTTCTCGCCTTTTCTGGTTTTGATATTTTACATTCTCTTTTAATAGAACTTGAAGAGTCAGTGCTAGATGCTTTTGGCATTCTTCCTCAGCGTAAGCAGCACAAAAAACTTTTGCTGGTGAGTTTCTGTCATTATCCTTTATCTTGTGCTATATATCTTCTCCAGTAAATTGTCAAGGTAAATTGCATCTGCATGGATCCTGTTAATAATAGTTTTTTTTTGCTGGACCATCAAGCATAGACCAAAAAATATTCTTTACTTCTTTGGCAGCCCCTTTTTATCTTATTGAAAAACTAATTTGGTAGTGATCTCTGGCAGCAATCTTTGGTTGGGGAGGACTCTGGTGAAGAACAACTATTTTCACCAAATGGTTCTATGAGAGATGGCTCAAGTAGCGAACTTGATTGGTGTCTACGGAAGCTGGAGGTACTTCTCTTCATCTCTTAAAAATTTTGGTCTTCTGTTATATTGTGATTGACTTATTCATTCAAGTAACTTCAACAGGATCAGTTTGGAGTATGCTGTTCATTTCCTAAGGGTGCAATGTGCCCCCGTGTACATAGACATCAGGTAAATTATAAATTGTTTGTGGGTATTAGCATAGCTTGTTCTGAAATTCCATCTGCTAAAGCTAGGTTCGTTTTCATCACAGAGCAAAAGCTTTTGTTTTGAATTAATAAAAAAAAGTGTGTAGGTGGTGGATGCATTGGTCAGTCTTCTCTGCCGTGAAAACATATCTGCAGAAACTTTATGGGATGGAGGATGGCTCTTACGCCAATTGCTTCCTTATAGCGAAGCAGAATTCAATCGAAAACATCTCAAGATGTTGAATGTATGTTTCTTCTGATTGATATTGTTTCTTTCTCCCTCCTCACCACTTACCAATTTCCTACTGATATCAGGATTCATATGAGAAATGCAAAAATGCACTAATCCAGGAGATCAAAGGTACATGGCCTGATCTACTCATCAGGGTACTGCTTGAGGAGTGGAAAAAGTGCAAAAAAGGCAAGTAAATAAGCAAAATGTTGGATTTGTTAGAAATTTAACTCTAGGAGTGTATTCAATGAATCTAATACCTTATATCTTTTAACAGTGATTGAAGCTCCATCCCCTCAAAAAGAGCCTAAATCCGTTCTTCTCCAGCTGGATAGATCCGCTTGTAACGGTAGAGTCTTTGTTTTACATTTTGCGTGGCTATCTGATAATAAATGTGAATGATATGGACAGTCTCTTGTTAAAATCCTGTGTATGCAAACCATTAACAACTGATTGTTTTACAGATAACACTGTTAGCGAATCATCATTCACAGCAGGTGAAAAATTGTGCGAGGTGGTAAAGGTTCGTCCATTGTGTTCCCTTTTATATTTTAATGGAAATTTCTTAACCGGGACATCTGATAATCGAGCTCTTACTCCTTAGGTTTTTGTGCTTCTTCATCAACTTCGGATCTTCTCGCTTGGTAGGGCCTTGCCAGAGCAGCCTCCTGTCCATCCTCCTACCGATAGATCTGAAACGTCTCGTGCCACAGCTACTGGTTTGGATCTTACAGTTCCCAAACCTGGCACCGAAGTTAAGCTAGGTTAGTGCATGATGCTCTTATGCTTGCCTTTTTACCACATCTGTCAAACTCACACCATGTCTAGGATCCAATCTCATGTCTCAGTTTGACCTGTAATTAATCTGATCTTTGAAATTTCCCTGGTGCAGTTGATGCGGTACCCTGTAAGATTGCCTTTGAAAGAGGCAAGGAGCGCAATTTCTCGTTTCTAGCAGTATCATCTGGTGTGTCTGGGTGGATTATCCTTGCTGAAGAATCACTTTTGAAGCCAGATTACGGAACCGTCCGTGTTACCGCACCTCTAGCCGGCTGCAATGTACGTACTCACCTTCATTGTCTTCCTCTTTAACGAAAATGCTTGTAAAAATCACACACAAGGATAGATGAATGAGCTATCTTTTATTTGGTTTTCAGCCTCGAATAGATGAGAAGCACCCAAAATGGCTACACTTGAGAATCCGACCATCGACGTTACCTTTCTTGGATCCAACAAAGAGAGGAGTCTATGAGAAGCTCAAGTCCAAAGGCCTAGTAGACGGGAGATGGACGTTAGCATTCAGAGACGATGACTCATGCTACTCTGCTTGCTCGATGGTTGCACATGAGATTGATCTACAATGCAGCGAGGTTGAAAGAAGATTAAAGCCATTGTTTGAGCTTGACAGAAACCAGCAAGATCAATCAAACGTTACTTCAGATGTCTTCTCTTCACCAACTTCGTCTTTGTCCCGTTGATCTCTTTTTTGCATTGTATTCATAAATGAATATATGGGTATTTAAATGCAATCTTAGAGCAGCTTCCATGATTTTTTCATATCTCAATTTTTGTTTGTTTTGTTTATTTTTTTCTTCTTTGGAATGTCTTAATGTAATTTCACTGTATATTTGGGAAGAAATCTGTTAAATGAGTCATCTAAATAACATGGACGCATGCTATTCTTAGATCACCTCCAGTGATAAAAACCCATTAAAAATTCTAATGAATAATTTAGTAGTTAATGATCTATTAAAAATTCTAATGAACAATTTAGTAGTTAATTTTGTTTCTTAGATCACCTCCCATTAAAAATTCTAATGAATAATTTAGTAGTTAATAATTTATTAAAAATTCTAATGAATAAATTAGTAGTTAATTTTGTTTCTTAGATCACATCCGGTGGTAAGAATCCATTAAAAGTTCTAACGAATAATTTAGTAGTTAATAATCTATTAAAAATTCTAATGAATAATTTAGTAGTTAATTTTGTGATTTGAGAAGTTTAGAATTCTTCTTATTGTATTTAAAAATTTTATGGTCCAAATGTGAGAATCTCTATGAGGTTCTTAATTTTTTTTTTTTTTTAGAAATTGAAGAAATAGATTTCATAACATATGTTATGAAAGAAAACATATATAAAGATTCAAACAAACATGACATAAAAGCATATCAAAAATACAAATATAAATTATAAATGAGAAAAACCCAATTAGTTGAATATTGATTTGTACCAAATTTTTGTCATATATTCTCAACCAAATCAGCTTTCCATTGTTGATGTATTATTTTATCATGAACTCGATTCCGAATGCTCATCATATTGCCGAGATTTGAAGAAATATTTGTAGAATACGTGAATTTCATTTGTGAACTTCGGTTTGATTTTGGTTGTGCGAATACTGATACATCAAATTGAGTGTACCTGTCTCGTTCGTCTTCTACTATCATATTATGCAGAATGATATATGTTCTCATTATCTTTCCAATTTTTACTTTATCCCACATAAGAACGGGATCTTTAGTCGTTAAAGATCTTCTGGTGTGAGTTTTCTTAGATACTCATCTGAAAATACAGTTATTATCCCTCAACAAAATGTTCCAAGCATAAAAGCGCGGTGGTCTCACCAAGTTGGAAGTACTCGTCAACATCATCAGCTGGGCAACCATATGCCTACATACGAATTGCTGCCTTTGCCTTTTGTAACGGAGAGTGACCGAACATTCCAGTAGCATCTCTTCTTTGTTGGAAGTATGAAATTTTAGCGGAGAGTCGATCAATAATACGCATTAACAAGAGCTTGTTCATTTTAAAACAGCGTCGGAATATTTGAGAAGGGTATGTTGCATCGTCACTAAAAATAATCATTCTATAACTAGATTTGTCCTTGTTCACGTTTTCTTTGAATGTAGGCTCTTTTTTTTATTACTTGGCCGCTTCTTGATGATCATCATGATGAATGAAAAGATTTTCAAATTTGGTCAAATTTTTCATCCATCATGTCTTCAATATTATTAGAAGAAAAAGAAGCCATTCAGAGAAAATGATAAAAGAAACAAAAGGAAACACAACTTGCAAATCTTGGCACTTGTTCTTTTACACTCGGAAGAGAAATGGTAAGAGAAAGAAAATCTTGTTCTTTTAGACAAAATTTAAGAGAACCCAAAAGGAAAGACAACTTGCAAATCTGGGCACTCGTTCTTTTACACTCGAAAGATAAATGAAAAAGTTTATCAAGAAAAAAAAGAAACACAACTTGCATGAAAACACAACTGTTATTTTACGTTTTTCTTCTTCTTCTTCTTCACATGGAAACACAACTGTTTCTTCTTGTCTTTTTTTTTTCTTTTGGTGTTTATTTGTGTCACATGTTCTTGTTGTTTTTGTTGTCACATTTTATCTTCATGTCCACGCTTGTGGGTCTTGGCATCTTCTGTCACATGTCTTCGCTTCGTCCAACTCCACAAGCTTTATACATGAAACCGAGACCATATTATACATTAGACTCTGCTGTCTTGGTTCCACCTGCAATGAAGTGAAACAAACTCAATCCTTTCTTCTCACCCACCAAAATCATAGTCTTTGTCTCATATTGTACATGTATTAAAGTAGTGAAACGATCTTAACCCACTCATCAACACAAGACATTAAAACTGATCTTGGGTTTGTCTGATGTCTTCTTTTTGTCTTGGCTCCACCTGCAAAAGCAAGAAGATACAATAAGCAAGTGACTCGACAATATAAACCAAAGCATACAATAAACAAACTCAATCATTTCTTTCCACCCATCAAAAATACAAACTGAATCATACAGTGAAAAAATTCAATCATGTCTTAAGATTACTTTAACCATTAATTAAAAAAGACCAAAATGTTACAGTCTTGACAAAACAAAATCATAAAGAGAAACAAACTCAGACAACAAGCAAAAGCATTAAGAAAAACAAACGAAAACACAAAGCAAAAGCATTGAAGATCCATAAACTCGAACTGAAACTAAGTAGCCAACATGTCATTAATAAGCTTATTTTTCAAAGAAAATTCAAGTTCACTAAGTGACTCTATCTTAGCAATGAGGCTGTCAAGCAACTTTTGCTTGTTAACCTTCTCCTTCAAAGCAAAATCCTTTTGCTTTATCTCCCACATGCTCTGAAACTCCATAAGAGGCTTCCCTTTCTCTTCCACAGTCCTTTTACCATTAGAATTTGCGGCTTTAGCACCTATAGGCCAAGCCATTGCTTCATCCTCTCCATGGCTTACTTGCACAGAGGTTGATGACTGTGCGGATTGGTCATCTAACTTCTTTTTTTTTTACTGTACTTTATCTTTAGTAGAAGAGGCTCCACACCATTTCTGATCATGGAAAAGCTCCAACCATGCATGCTCCAGTGTGCACTTTACCTCGTAATCATTGTAGAAAGTTCCATGCGCCATTTTCATATCATCATTTTCACTCTGCCCAGTTGATTTATCTTTTGTTGCAGCATCATAACACCCTACAAACTTACATACACCCTCATTAACTTTTCTCAATTTTGTTTGCAGTGAGTGGGCTCTCTCTTTTGTAAACCAGCAAGCTTTAGACTTGCTGCAAAATAAGCTGTAATACGTTTCCAAAACGCAGTCGCTTTTTGTTCATTCCCGACAACATGGTCTTTGGAGATGTTCAACCAAGCTCTGATCAGCACAACGTCTTCTGCTGGTGTCCATTTCTATATTTCCTTACAATCGTCCATAGTAACTGACTTATCACATAACTGACTTATTCAGAATCCTGAGAGTTATCAAAGAGTGTGAAATTAAACAATACTGAAGCCGCTTCTTTATAGAAATCCTACCTTACATAATTTATGAATGAAAACTGTAAATGCAACAATGTTTAGTCTGATTCCATACTATTGTTTCATCCACTAAGCAATTCCCAACATTTCAAAACAACCAGCAGAGCAGTTTTACTAATGAATAAGCTACGCACAACAGTGTTTAAATATCTCTCTTCACTAATCATGTGTTCGCACAAACCCTTCGTGAAGAAATGTGGCGATGTCTATATTTCTCTCTTTAACACAACAACTACCAACATCATAAACATGTTCTCTCCAAGTTTCAAATAGATCATTCATAACTAAACATAACAATCCATCTTCCACATCAAAGCTTTTCACCAGATGGAGAAAATTCATGTTTCTAGATACCAAAAAATGAATCATTAGGCTCATAGATAAACCTGCTTGAGTGCTCATCAACAACTCTGACCACTTGAAGAAGTATAAAAGCAATAGATGCATCTGAAGTCTCTTCAAACAAAACATCCAAAATCCTCATGGTTTCATGACTTTGTATTGATGTAGCTCAATGTTAAACACACTCTCAAATATTTAAATACAAGTATACAACTGTGCTTCATAAGCACATTTCTAATAGTTTAAACTTTCAAATGTACTTTTCAGAATCCACCGAATATGATTCCGGGTTTCGCTCTATTCCAAGAAGCAAACCGGGTTTCCTGATCTAATAACCGAATATGGACCGTTATTTAATGGGCCTATATTCGAAATTTAAGGCCCAAAACTAAAACCCTAACTGGCTTTCTCCTCTCCTCTTAAGAGAAGCCATGGACGTTCTCTTCCCTCCTTCCATTATACCGTTTCAGCTCAACCGGAGAACATGGTAAAACCTCCTTCTCCGATTCAACAGAGATTTCTGCCTACAATTGTGCTCATATAGATTGTGCTTGCTTGTTCGCGTACAGGTGTTCAAGAGGTACGTCGAGATAGGGCGTGTGGCTCTCGTAAACTTCGGAAAGGACTATGGCAAGCTCGTCGTCATCGTCGATGTCGTCGACCAAAACAGAGTAACTGATTGGCTCCTTTAGCTCCTATTAGCGATTGTAGGTTTGGTTAAGAGTAAACAAGTCTCAGTTTGTAGATCTTGAATAAAGCTTGTGTTTCACTGTATATTGCATTCTCAGTCTTCTACTTAGTTAAAGTAGTTATCTTTCATGTTGCCATAGTAATCAGAAATTGTTTGATTTGAAACTTATTCACTATTAAGTTGTATATGCTAAGCTACATTATGTTGAGGAATCTATTTGTTCATTATTGTTTTTTTTTTTCACTTGTGTTGATTTTTCTTGTATGTCTCCTTAGTTTTTAATTGTTATGCATGTCTACTTTTATAGGCGCTTGTGGATGCCCCTGACATGGAGAGAATCCAGATGAATTTAAAGAGGCTTTCTCTTACTGATATCGTCATTGATATCAACAGAGTGCCTAAGAAGAAGAATCTCATTGAGGCTATGGACAAAGCTGGTGAGTTCTTCTGTTACCTATGTCTGTCTGACATTGGAAGTGTCATATCTGGCTACCTTTATTAACCTTTAAAGATTTTTTTGCAGATGTGAAGAACAGGTGGGAGAAGAGTTCATGGGGTAGGAAGCTGATTGTGCAGAAGACAAGAGCTTCCCTCAATGACTTTGATAGGTTCCAGATTATGTTGGCCAAAATCAAGGTCACTTTCCTTCTCTCTTCTACTCCAATTTTATTAGGTCCCTTATCTTCTTCCCCTACTCGGAAAATAGATATATGTTAGATAGATTAATTTGTTATATCCTAGGAAAATTTGTTGAACCTCAAAACTAGTTACATGTTTCTAATGCTAAACTCAGTTATTTACCTGTCTTAATCACTCTATGTAATGGATTTTCAAGTGTTATAATTTTGCAGAGGGCGGGTGTTGTGAGGCAGGAGCTTGCAAAGCTCAAGAAAGAGATCACCGCTTGATGTATGTACGACATATCAGACTTATCTTTTGTACAAGTTTAAACAGTTTTGCAAATGATAGTTCAGAACTTGAAACCTTTTTTGATGCTTAAGACATTTATTATTACCCTCTCCCGAATTGATTATCTGAATCTATAAAAAAAACAAAGTGAGTATCAGGTTGAAACAATAAACTAAACTGGTAGCAGAGAATATAGAGCAATCTTAGTTCACAAAACGCAAAAGGAAAAGGAAGAAAAGCTCTAAAGAAGATTTAATAAGATGTCTTTTACTTGCAAATATACGACTTTGCATCTGGCCTTGTCTGAAACTCGAACAGGTGTGGCTTTGGTCTCACCAAGCCTTCATCTTCTTGCTACCCCTTGGTCGTTCAATAGGAGCATCCATGGCTGCCCTTCTCTTGTTGTACTTTTGGCGCAGAAAAGCATTAGAAACCCAGGGGTCACTCCAATCTTTTGTTTTATCCTCGTCATCTTTCTTGTTTTTGCCACCATATGTTGTATCCTCTTTAGCAAGGTGAGTCCATTTAGTTCCTCCACTGCGACCAAAGTGCTTCACCTGCATGACTTCCCGTAGAACCGACTTGTCCAGCTTATCTACCCCTGTTGGAGCAGAGTAGTCTCGCTGAAATAAACCATTGGTTTCATTAGATCCTGGCTCTTGGAAGTAGGCACCCTTGTGGTAGTATCTTTGCATAAACTTCCACTTCTTTTTCGGTTTGACTGATGATGATGATGAAGTCTTCGGATTGTTACTCTCCCATTCTTTCCTCTCCTGCTCTGTCATGTTTCTCAACTTGTCTACTTCTTCCTTCTCTCTCAACATAGCTCCTCTTGCATCTTTGTCTCCCTTGATCCTAGCAAGTTCCCTTGTCTTCCAAGCTTCGTACTCTTCAGCTTCATTGGTTTCATCATCAGTATCTACATCTCCAAGATTTGCTTCTTCTTGTACAATGTTCTTGCGTCTCTCTTCGTCTTTCCTTACTTCTTCAACAACTATTTGCTTTGTCTCTATCTTCCTCATCTCCAGTTTCTTCTTTGCTAGTTTCTCAAGAGCTTCTTCTTTAGCCTCCATCTTCTCACGTTCTGCTATTGTATCCCTCTCAGCCTTCTTTACAAAGATCGGCTTCATCATGTTGATACCAAACATCTCGTCTTCTGAATCAGTTTCGTACTCAGACTCTTCCTCTTCCTCTTTCACCTCTTCTTCTTCTTCATCTTCTAGAGGGAGTAGATCAGCCTCCTCTCTAGCTCTTTTAAGATTCTTTTCTCGGATTCTCCTTCTTCTTTCTTCCAAGGCATCTACATCTTCTTCCTCTTCTTTAGCCTCTTGCTTCCTCAACTCTTCTTCTTCTTGTGTAGATACAACCTCAGCCGCCTGTCTAACTCGCCGATGATCAGCTCTAACTTGTTCACGGTTCTCAGTTCTGGTCGTCTGACCTAAACGCCGCAGCCTTGGATCATCATCTTTACTCCTCTCCAAATCATCAACCTTCTTTATCTTGTGCCTCCCAACATGATCATCATGATCTTCTTCAGCTTCATTATTGGCCCAATTGGGAGCTTTTCCAGGCCAATATCTTCGCACTCTAGTCTGACCAATCCCACCTTGTAGTTTTGCCCTAGCCGCAAGTGCAGCATCGCTAACTCCTGCTGTGACCGACATCTTTCCAAACTTTGAGATGTTTACAAATCAAACTCAGTTTTTGTGTTTACTTGAGAGAAAATATAATGACAGAAACGTTGCCAACGAAAACCCTAAGAAGGAGGTCTCGAAACTGGTGAAACGTTAAGTCAATTTAGATATCTGAAAGCTCGTATGATTTGTTCTCATATGGGCAGGCAGTACCTATATTTATAGCTATATTTTCATGATACAAAATTGTTAAAAAGGTAATTTAACTAATTAATTCGTATTTACTTATTGGATATTGACGTGATTTCCTTTTTCAAGGGTTATCCTTTTCCTTTTTTTTTAATACTAAAGAGATAAATTGTTGATTTCTAGTCGGTCAAGGAAGTTTTCCTTTTCTATATCGAATGGGTTTTGAGGAATTTTATGTGTTATTTGTCAATATATAAGGTCAAAGTAAGAAGATCACATGCATGCACTACAAACAAAAAATTCTTTGTTCCAAAACGAAACCCTAAACATGCATCAAGAGGAGGTTTATACGATGAATTATCCAGTTTACATTAGTTCAAGTAGTGATGATGAAGAAGATGAAGTTCAAGACCCCATCAATGGGCAACAAATTGTGCCGATCATCGTTACTGATGAGAAGCGTATCTACCAAGCTGCGTTACTAGATCTAAACCAACCCAAAACCGAAAAAGACTTGCCTCCTGGTGTCCTTGCAGTTCCTCTTATGAGGCATCAGAAGATTGCATTGGAATGGATGCGTCAGAAAGAAAAACGTTATAACAATTGTCTGGGAGGGATACTAGCGGATGATCAAGGACTCGGTAAAACAATCTCAACCATTGCTTTGATCTTATTGCAGAAGTTGAAGTCACAATCAAAGCGTTTAAAGCGAAGAAGTAGAAGATCTGGTGGTACATTAGTTGTTTGTCCAGCAAGTGTTGTTAAGCAATGGGCAAAAGAGCTTGATGACAAGGTTTCTCTTCAACACAAGCTCTCTGTTTTAGTCTACCATGGATCTAAAAGACCCAGAGATCCTGTCGAGTTGGCTAAATACGATGTTGTCGTGACAACTTACGCGCTTGTTACAAACGAAGTTCTGCATGGTTTTGGTGCATTAGCTAGGGTTAGGTGGCTGAGAGTGGTTTTAGACGAAGCTCAGACAATAAAGAACCATGGAACACAAGTTGCAAGAGCATGTTCTATGCTAAACGCCAAAAGGAGATGGTGTTTGTCTGGAACACCAATACAGAACGAAGTCTGGGATCTTTTCAGCTACTTCCAGTTTCTTCGATATCATCCTTATGCTGAAATCTGTTCTTTTAGCAAAAGAATCATGGAACCTATCACAAAGAATCGTATCAGAGGTTACAAGAAGCTTCAAGCTATTCTAAGAGCTATATTGCTTCGCCGCACCAAAGGAACGTTACTTGATGGCCAACCTATACTTCACCTCCCTCCAAAGACTGTCAACTTGACTAAAGTTGATTTTTCTCCAGAGGAGCTTGCTTTCTACAAGGAACTTGAAGCAACTTCACAATCAGAGTTCGAGGTCTATGCTGAAGCAGGAACGGTCAGTAAAAACTATGCTTACATTCTCGTGATGCTTTTGAGACTACGCCAAGCTTGTGGCCATCCACAGCTTGTTAAAACATCAGAGGAACCATATGTCGAACGTGTGAAACAGAGCGACTTCACATCAACGAAAATCAAAGCCGTGATGAATACGCTTGAGTCGCTTGGGAAGCAAGTCAAGACCTTGGTGTTCTCTCAGTGGACTGGTATGCTTGATTTGCTTGAGCATAACTTTGTCAAAAACGGTGTAACGTTCAGAAGACTAGACGGAACAATGTCTCTAGTAGCAAGAGACAAAGCTGTGAAAGAGTTCAACGGTGATCCAAGTGTGCAAGTGATGCTAATGTCCCTTAAAGCTGGAAACCTAGGATTGAATATGGTGTCTGCAAGTCATGTGATTATATTGGATCTTTGGTGGAATCCAACAACAGAAGACCAAGCTATTGATAGAGCTCATAGAATTGGACAGACTCAGGCTGTTACTGTGACTCGTGTAGCTGTCAAAGATACTGTTGAAGATAGGATCTTGGCTCTTCAGGAAGAGAAAAGGATAGTGGTTGCTTCTGCATTGGGCGAAGGTCCTGGTGAACTATCTGCCACACGACTAACCGTACAAGATCTTGAATATCTGTTTTTTGGATAAATAATATATAATCTATATAGTTAGTGGTTGTTGCAAACGATGGAACGCAATTTTCTATGAAACTTTTGCTATTTTAAAGTCATGTTTTATGAATGTAATCGATGAACGCACTTGATCTCAAATAAATACAAAAGATCTGAATTAGGAGCTAACTAAACCCTGAACCAAACTCTCAAAACCCTGTAAAACTCAACAAAATCTTCTGAACTAGACTTTCTAGTTGCTAGAGTCTCTGATCCAAACGCATATATTCATTTGATATGGCTAAGCTTGTGTCCGTCAATATTTTCCTTAACATGGTGTGATGATGTGACTATGTGAGACTCTTTTGTAATCTCTTGACAAAGTCTCTGATCATAACACTCAATTCAAAAAAAAAAAAATGAAGTTACTATTATATTTGTTTTTGAAAAACATAGTCTAAGAATATATAGACCTTATGTGGCGGTCATTAATGGAATGCTTATAACAAATATTAGTTAATGTGATTGTGATATTTCTCTTCAATTCTTGTCGTTGCTTGCCCTGCAAGTTTTGTTGTCTACGAGATGTTTAAATTACATGACCGTTTTGAGTTAAAGGCCACACAACGTTTGAATCTTCTCTTGCTAGAGCCTAGAGGTAGAGGATATCATCAATTTATTGTTTATATAGTACTGTTGTCATCCCATCACGCTGTCTTGTTGTTGTTTACTGTAGCGACCAAGTCAAATGCTATTGTTTCTCCAATCGTCTAATCCATGTTAAATTATGGAAGCTAAGGAAGATAGAATACTGACTCTCTTTTTTTATGTCACTTGGAGTTTCTTATGCTATCCACAGACTAAGTTTGAAACTTTCATTGCCAACTAAGAACTATCTTTTAGGGTTTTAAACAATTAGCCCACTTGAAAATTTGTCAACTACTGACAGAAGACTACGAGAAGTCGTTCCTACGATTATTAACAGAAAGAAACTCTTGGAATATCACAACTTGCCTCTTTTGACTTGAAATTTTGTCTTTTTAATTGTTTTGCTACAGATAATGCTTCACCATCAGCCCACATGGCTTTATAATAATCTTTACAATAAAAGTACATTGGTGAATGAAGCAGGCTTTGCATAAGTATTTCAAAAAGAGGCTTATTGCAGATGTGTATGAGAAAGTGCTGATAAAGAGCTTTTGTCACTAAATGGGGCTTCCGTTGATTTCATTCACAAGCTTTTTTGCTGTTCTTGTTCTTCTTGCTCGTGCTCAAGACCAGTCAGGTAGGCAAAGTCTTGCATTCGAATTTTTTTACTGCGTTTTCAAGGCTTTACATCTCTTTATCTGCATGCGTGTGTTTATATTACAGGTTTTGTCAGTATAGATTGCGGTATACCGGACGATTCAAGCTATAACGATGAAATCACAGACATTAAATACGTTTCAGATGCTGCTTTTGTTGAGTCCGGAACAATTCACAACATAGATCCTAAGTATCAGACAAGTTCTCTTGAAAAGCAGTTCGAAAACGTCAGGAGTTTCCCTGAAGGCAAGAGAAACTGTTACGATGTTCAGCCTCCACGAGGAAAAGGCTTTAAGTATTTGATCAGAACACGGTTCATGTACGGTAACTACGATGGCCTAGGAAAAGCACCCGAGTTCGATCTTTATCTTGGGGTCAATCTCTGGGACTCTGTTGCATTAGATAATGCAACTACTATAGTTACCAAAGAGATCATCTACACTCTTCGTTCAGACCATGTTCACGTGTGTCTTGTTGATAAAGACAAAGGAACTCCATTCATGTCTGTGTTAGAACTTAGGCTCTTGAGGAGCGACATATACGAGACTCCTTATGATTCTATTATGCTGTATCGAAGGTGGGATCTCGGGGCACTCGAAAATCGTCCTTTCAGGTTAGTATGCGTCCTCTTATATTAATATATGTTAAAAAAGAATTAGACGGTAATTAGTAGTAGCTATTTAGAGGATTAGTGCCTAGGTACCACCTAAATTTTCAAAAATCGTATTAGTAAAATCGTTTAATTATGATCGATTTACCGCGTCTAAACATCGACCGATGTTTAGAACATTCAATAATATTATATATATCTTGGCTGGCGTCTGTTCTCAACTACGTTTTCTCAGGTACAAAGATGATGTGTATGACCGTATATGGATGCCTCTAAAGTTCTCAAATCATAAAGTTTTCAGCACAAACCTCACGATAGATTCGAATATCCACAATGGATTCGAGCCTGCTCGTGCCGTCATGAACACTGCTTCAACACCTTTGAACTCAAGCTTAGACATAAGCCTTTTATGGGACCCAGTTATCCCTACGTGGAAGTTCTACGTGTACATGCATTTTTCTGAAGTTCAAGAACTATCAAGCAACGATACCAGAGAATTCTCGGTGATTTATAATGATAAAGCTAACCTCTATGCTAACTTCAGCCCTCGCTTCTTGTATACAGACACACTTCACATTGAGAAGCCTGTCACTGGACCAAACCACGACTTTACACTCAGACGAACTGCTAAATCTACGCTCCCACCAATCATCAACGCCATAGAGACGTATCGTGTCAACGATTTCCTTCAGTCAGCTACTGATCAACAAGATGGTATATATGGTTTCATCTTTTGAAATGGAATTTGACCGGTCTTTATATATTTAACTTGGCACTTATCCCTGTTTTGGTTTGAACTATAGTTGATGCAATTATGAGAATAAAGTCCAAATATGGAGTGAAGAAAAACTGGCTTGGAGACCCTTGTGCACCAGAAGGGTACCCTTGGAAGGATATATACTGTTCCTATGTCGATAAAGAGTCTCCACGAATCATTTCTGTGTAAGCTTATCTTCAAATGCTTATACATATATTTGTTATTTGTTGATTATGGAGTGATTTAAATAGATATAAATACGTATCTTAAGGCTTATAACTTATTCATTTCACATAATCAATATACAAATTCAAAATGGGTGTTTGAATGTCTTTTCTCTCTAAATGTTTTTGCTTTTTTTTTCGTGTTTAATTTGTCTTTGTTCACAACATTATCTCTTATCTCTCTCTTGTTCTCACGAGAGTTTTTTTATCTGCAGGAATTTATCCTTAAGTGGCTTGACTGGCGAGATAGATCCAGCCTTCTCCAACCTTACATTGATACAGAAACTGTCTGTATTTTCGACTTGACGGCAAATCTTTTGTACACACCCTTCTGTGATATATTTTAGCTGACGCAACCAAATTTCATTTCAGGTACTTATCAAACAACAGTTTAACAGGAAAAGTACCAGATTTCCTTGGAAATCTACATAACTTGACGGAGTTGTAAGTCATACTAATTTAGATCGTAGATTACATAAATAATGACATGTACAACATGGAGACCATTTTATTGATTTCATGTCTGCAGAAACTTGGAAGGAAACAAGCTAACGGGTCCTCTTCCTCGGAAACTAATTGAGAGATCAAACAGTGGATCGCTTAAGCTGAGGTTGGTTCATTATTATATAAGGCTTTAAGATGCATTATAGATGCTCCGTAGCTGTTGAAACACTTATATCTATATTTTGGCCTATTTGGTCATGTTCTCATGCATTTTACTTGTAAAGAGCTGGCGGAAATCCGGACCTGGACCTCTGCATGACTGCTTCATGTCAAAGTACTAATGAGCAGACAAAGAAGAATGTATACATCATTCCAATAGTAGGATCTGTCGCAGGAGTGTTTAGTCTTGTAGTAGCGATAGCTTTGTTGTTGGTGTACAAGAAGAGACATCCAAGGGGTAAAAAAACACCAAGGAACTTTGTTCTTAAATTTGTAGGATTCCTTCTAAGAAAACTTATCATGATATATTTACAGGCGGTTCTGATAGTGTTAGGACTGGACCATTGGACACAATAAAACGATACTACAAATACTCTGAAGTTGTGAAAATTACAAACAATTTTGAGAGAGTACTTGGACAAGGAGGTTTTGGAAAAGTATACCATGGTGTCCTAAATGAAGAGCAAGTCGCTGTCAAGATTCTGTCTGAATCATCAGCTCAAGGGTACAAAGAGTTTAGAGCGGAGGTCAGTCTCTTAAATTTTCTAATCATTATAACACAGTGTGTTATTGAGTAATCGGGATATGCATCCACTTCTTTATCATCAGGTTGAACTTCTACTGAGAGTCCATCACAAGAACCTAACTGCACTTATTGGATACTGCAACGAAGGGAAGAACATGGCGCTTATATACGAGTTTATGGCTAATGGAACCTTAGGAGATTACTTGTCAGGTCAGTCTCTCTTCTACTTACTTTTGGTCACTGGTCTTTTGCTGCTGTAGGCAGGGGAAACTAAACTCACTTTTTTGTTACTTTCTTAATCAAGGGAAAAAATCTTATGTCTTAAGCTGGGAGGAGAGGCTACAAATATCATTAGATTCTGCACAAGGTTTAAATGATCTTGAAAACTCATACCAGAATAAAAATAAAGTGAATATAAAATGAAATGAACTTAGTCTTTATGTTTTATTTTTGATGAAATTCAGGGCTTGAGTATCTTCACAATGGCTGCAAGCCTCCCATTGTACAAAGAGATGTAAAGCCAGCTAATATACTAATCAACGATAAGCTTCAGGCCAAGATTGCTGACTTTGGGTTATCTAGAAGTGTTGCATTGGATGGTACTAACCAGGATACAACTGCAGTTGCTGGAACTATTGGTTATCTTGACCCCGAGTAAGTAAACAGAGTCTTCTGTTATGGTCTACTATTAGATTGTTACGGTTTCTAAGACATTGTTTTGCCAAATGAAGGTACCAATCGATGCAACAGTTAAGTGAGAAGAGTGATGTTTACAGCTTCGGTGTGGTTCTTTTGGAGGTTGTGACAGGCCAGCCAGTGATTTTACGTTCAAGAACAACTGCAGAGAACATACACATAACCGACCGGGTCGAGTTGCTTCTGTCCACAGGAGATATCAGAGGCATTGTGGATCCAAAGCTAGGAGAGAGGTTTGATGCTGGTTCGGCTTGGAAGATCACTGAAGTAGCAATGGCTTGTGCGTCTCGTAGCTCTAAAAATAGACCTACCATGAGTCAGGTGGTTGCTGAACTTAAGGAGAGTGTTAGCAGAGCAAAAGATGGTGGAGGTTCCGGCGCCAGTAGTTTTACAGGGCCGGCGATGACGGCTGTTGACTCGGGAATGTTTCCTCAGGCGAGGTAGATGATTGTTGAACCCATCTGAGTTTTTAACTTAATGAAACTGGAAAGGTCTGTGAGGTGTGGAGTGGGATTATGATAATAAGAACAAGGCTGAGTTGTGTTAACCTTATCTTTTTGTAAGATACTTGTACAAGGTCTTTGTCATTTTCTCAGTTTGAGTTCCTAAATATTTTTAAACAGTGTTAAAATAAAACATAAATTTAAGCAGTTTTAGGCGGTCCTAGGCTTCCTTAAAGTTGATGTGACTTGAAGTTTCTTATGCTATATCCACAGACTCAGTTTGAAACTTTCATTGTCAACTAATAACTCTCTCTCTAGGGTTTTAAACAATTAGCCCACTTGAAAATTTTTCAACTGACAAAAGACTAGGACAAGTAGTTGCTATGATTATTAACAGAAAGAAACTCTTGGAATATCCCAACTTGCCTCATTTGACTTGATATGTCTTTTCTTTTTTTCTAATAGATACTGATTTGCTACAGATAGTGCTTCACCATCAGCCAATATGGCTTTATAATAATTTTTATATCAAAAGGATTGAATAACGAATGAAGCAACATCTGTATAAGTATTGTATGAGCAGGCAGGTATTGAGTTTTTGTATGATAAAGTGCTGATCAAGAGCCACTAAATGGGGCTTCAGTTGATTTCATTCACAAGCTTCTTTGCTGTTCTTGTTCTTCTTGTTCGTGCTCAAGACCAGTCAGGTACACAAAGTCTTGCAAATGTATACATATGGCTGTGTCGTTGAGGATTTTAATCTTTTTGTGTTTATATAACAGGTTTTGTCAGTATAGATTGTGGTATACCGGATGATTCAAGCTATAACGATGTAATTACAGACATAAAATACGTTTCAGATGCTGCTTTTGTAGAGTCCGGAACAATTCACACCATAGATCCTCAGTTTCAGACAAGTTCTCTTGAAAAGCAGTTCCAAAACGTTAGGAGTTTCCCTGAGGGCAAGAGAAACTGTTACGATGTTCAGCCTCCCCGAGGAAAAGGCTTCAAGTATTTGATCAGAACACGGTTCATGTACGGTAACTACGATGGTCTAGGAAAAGCACCCGAGTTCGATCTTTATCTTGGGGTCAATCTCTGGGATTCTGTTAAAATAGATAATGCAACAATGATAGTTACGAAAGAAATCATCCACACTCTTCGTTCAGACCATGTTCATGTTTGTCTTGTTGATAAAGACAAAGGAACCGCATTCTTGTCTGTGTTAGAACTTAGGCTCTTAAAGAGTGATACATACGAGACTCCTTATGATTCTATTATGCTGTATCGAAGGTGGGATCTTGGGGGGCTTGGTGACGCTCCTGTCAGGTGAAAAAAAATGAATTATTTTTTATATATATCTTTGTGATCATGTGTTTTGTTTTTTTTCTATCTTCTTAAATTTTGTAATAATATAGGTACAAAGATGATGTTTATGACCGGATATGGATACCTCTGAGGTTCCCTCAATATAAAATCTTCAATGCGACGCTCCCAATAGACCCAAACAACAACAATGGGTTCCAACCCGCTCGGTTTGTCATGAACACTGCAACATCACCTGACAATTCAAGCAAAGACATAGCCCTTTATTGGGAACCACTGGATCCTACTTGGAAGTACTATGTGTACATGCATTTTTCAGAAGTTTTGGAACTTCCGAGTAATGAGACAAGAGAATTCACAGTGCTTCTGAACGAGAAGTCAATCAACATGACTGTCTTTAGCCCTCGCTACTTGTATACAGACACGCTTTCCACTCAGAACCCTGTGAGCGGTCCAAGACTCGAGTTTCTTCTTAGACGTACTGCTAAATCTACGCTTCCACCCATCATTAACGCCATTGAGACATATCGAGTCAATGAGTTTCTTCAGTCACCTACGGACCAACAAAATGGTAGGCTTCCCGTTTCTGCTAGAAAAGAAAAACCTTAGTCGTTTTCATTATTAAACATTATGCTTAGATATGTTCGGTCTGAATTGTAGTTCATGCAATGATGACAATAAAGTCCAAGTACGGAGTGAAGAAAAACTGGCTTGGAGATCCATGTGCTCCAGTCAACTATCCTTGGAAGGATATCAATTGCATCTACGTTAATAACGAGCCTCCAAGAATCATTTCTGTGTATGCATTTTAACATATACTTATATTTTTTTTGCCTCTCTCCCTTTCTATGTTCTCACAAGAGTTATGTGATCTTCAGGAACTTATCCTCCAGTGGCTTGACTGGCCAGATTGATCTAGCCTTCTCCAACCTTACCTCATTAGAAAAGCTGTCTGTATTTTCGATTCGATCTATAAAGTTTTGTATAGATAGTTTTGGAACCTTTAACTGATACAACAAAAATCTCATTTCAGGGACTTATCAAACAACAGTTTAACTGGAAAAGTGCCTGATTTCCTTGGAAATCTACATAACTTGACAGAGTTGTAGGTCATTCTGACTGGAACCTGGTATGATTAGAATCAAATAGTTATCTGAGGATTGTGCTGGCAGTTTTCAGTTTAGTCATCATTATTATAAGCCTACATCGGCGAGTATAGGGCTGAGCAATCGGGGTCCCAATCGGGTTTCGGTTCGGATTCATTTGGGTTTCGGGTTTTCGGGTTCATGAATTTCAGTCACAATCGGATATTATAAAAATTCGGGTCGGATTCGGTTCGGGTTTAGTCGGGTTCGGTTCGGGTTTAGTAACATGTCCAAGATCTGGTTGAACCCGAAATAGTTTCGGTTTCGGATACTAACCGGGTTATCGGTTCTAAAAATACTAATTTATACTCAATTAAACTCACTATATTTTCAATCATTTTATTAAATTTGTGTATTTAGCTTCTATAAACCATATTGTTCTCCTTCAAAATAATATTGTGAAACTCATCTATCAGCTATATAAGATTTGTCATTGAACTATATGTGACAACACTAAACATATCATGATTAATGACAAACCAAAGCCTTGTATGAACGAAATATAATACAAATGAAACATAAAAAAATAAAGTTAACTACTAACAATTCTATAAACATAAGAAGTACTATTTAAACTTTAAAAAACAACATTATATAAACTTCAAAACAAATTTATTCGTAACTTAACTTAAAATGTAATGTCAATCATAAACATTAATATTAACCAAATAACACTATATATTAGACTAAATATTTGAGCTAATTATTTATATCATAACTAATTATTGTAGGTATTCAATAATATATTAATCTGTTTTGGAAACATATTAGAAATTTAGATTGGATATGATACAAGTTTTTTTGGAATTTTAAAGTTTCGGGTTCTTTCGGATATCCATTTAAGTTCGGGTT